GACCAGCGCCCAAAACCCGCTTCGCGGGCAGGCCCGTAGGAAGGGGGGCAACTGGCAAGCGCCCCCCCAAAATCGGCCGAAGGCCGAAAAAATTCATAAGCTGGGACCTTATGCATTTTTTCGTGAAAATTTTTTTGCCTGCGGCGCTTTTTATAGTTGTTTTTAAGACTGTTTTTACTATCATCGCCCTAATTTTTTCAAAAATTTTCGCCTGCGGCGCTGTTTTTGATAGTTTTGATACGTTGCCGTATATTTTTTTTGGAGTTGCCCCCCCCCCCCCAAAAATCGGGGATCGCTACGGCCCTGTTCGCGGGGCTTGGGCGCTGGAATGCGGCCTTTGCATGAAAAGTTTGACTTTCTGAAAGTTCGGGTCCTTCGGACCCCTTTCCCTGTCCGGACCAAACTCGCGAGTGCAACTTGCAAGAATGAGGACATTTCTATTTTTTTCACATTATGCAAATTAGTCTTCCCAGACCCCCAAAAATGAATAAAATCGGCTTTAACTTTGTAAAATTTTATTTTATCGGAATTCTGAGAACACCATCGGATAGAGGAGGGTCGATTCCCGCGAGTGACGAAAAATGGGGGCGTTTTGGACACGGGAAGGCCCTCAAATCGGGCCTCGAAACTGACCTCCGCACACGCACACACACACACACACACACAAAGATACGCGACCAAATTATATAAGGTAGGATTATTGTAGGCTTAAATTCAAATTGTTAGTATATTTTTCGACTCTGTCAAACGGCGTTGCAAAAATCCCGAGAGAAATAGCGAAAATACCGAAAACGTTGTGACCATTCGGCTGTGGGGGGTAAAGTAAAGTCTTACCAAATATACTAAAGTAAGTCTTTAAAAAACTCACTCAACCACCATTTTCAAAATAAAATGAGGAGCCTAGTTGAGAAGATCAGAGGGGGAACTGGGACAGGCTAGCTAGAAAAAGCAGAGCAAATTTGACGACCGTATACCGCTGGTAGCTGCGGCTAAACCTTTGAGCCGACCCCAAATTATGTCTGGCTAGATAATGACTAGCTTTCGGCGTGCCGATGCGGAAAGGGAACCCACTTATCTTATGGTACTAATTCGGGGTTCAAGTAGCTTTTCTAATTGTAGGCTTCTTAGATGATACTGAGAAAGCTTGGTACTTTACCACCACCTTACCAAAATATTAATATTTTTGGCTCGTCACACTTTTACTAAATATACCATTTATGTTATTAATTTTTCTTATTTATTAATATGCCTGGAGTATACCTTAAGCGGAGAGGAATCAAAGAGGCGGTTTTCTTACATTAAAGGACGTCATAACACTGGATGCGACATTATCGGCATTGCCATTGCCATTGCCAAGATACAAATGGTGTACCTCGACGGCTAAACCCCTCAAAAAATATCGTTTGCACCAAATTGCCGGTTAGCCATGGCGCCTGGCACAGATTCAATACTTCTGATTTTTCTACCAAGGTTTTTGATTCTTAATGTCAATCGCAATACTTTGTAACGTTTTTCAGTTATTTTAATCACGCACGTACAGTTGTTAATAAGCTCTGGCTTTATACCTATGATTTTGTAGCTTCTACTCTAAATATTAATTTTTTAGCTGGTTAAGGCTTACAGATCCGTTAAAAAATGGGCGTACATTATTTCGCGGAAATGGCCACACAAGATTGGGTGGCGATCGCCATCATGGGAGGTGTACGTTGCTGTTTAGGACTATTGAGCATGAACTTTCAGGTCGGCACGCTGGCCCTCTGCATGAATGCCGTCGCTGGGAAAACTATATGGAAAAACACCAGTTTGAGCATTACGGTGAAAACCTATCTCTGTGCCGAACATACACTGCGCATCGTCATGTCGATCATGGCGTACTACGTCGTCGCTCAATCAATTATTCGCTTTGACGCCCCAGATCCTCTATCGAATATTACAGGAGTCAGCTATGGGTTTCGGGCCGAGTAAGCGGTCCTTTAACCAGCGCTTGATTTTGTTCGTTTTTAGCGCCTATGACCAGACGAAAACCTATGAGGATTTTTACTACGCGTCTCCGGTTACGGAACAACGGACCCTTGATGAAATGGGGGATCAACACGAGTTCTGGGCCCAGGATCTTAATAGATTATGCGCTTTCTATTTTGTGGTCTGTCAATTTGCTGTGGATTACCTGCAACTTGGACTTTCAGTCAATCGCGTGGCAGGCGTTGTAGCTAGGGGTAGTTCTCTAAAACTTCTCAAAATCGTTTTAGGAAAATATCTGAAGCTAACTTCCAAAAATCCTGTCGCACAGGTGATGCTCTTCATCTCCATTCCGTTCCAGCAACTATACAAACCGTTATATTGTAAGGGGCAAATGATTCGGTGGCAGCTGAAGTATTTCAGACCAGTCGCTCGTGTTCGACAAGTACGAGCACAATCTGTATCGTGGCAGCATGCCCTCGGCCATCAACATCGGATACAGCTACGAGAAGGATGTCTGGAAAAACGCGGCACATTGGAATGAGCTGACGTTGATGCGTCACCTAAAGATACTAGTGGCGGCAGTTGCTCTAGCCGCGGACGGTGTCACTTTGATGATGTTGCGGAAACTTTTGGCGAGTCTTTTTGACTTATTGCTTTGGGACCTGAAGGCAAAGTGGAGTAGAATTTTATAGCCATCAGATAACCATTTTCACGATTTCTGGCTCTAATTCGCAAAAGCCTAACTGAAACTTTCCACGTTCAGCGCAACTCCACCGGCTTATCGGTACGCGCCAAGGAAAGTCGAGCCGATTTCCGTCTGGCGCAACAGGTGACATCATCGAGATCCTGCCTCTAACCTATTCTGAATTCAGATATTTTTTAACAACTTTTTCACGTTCTTGGTTTGTTTGGCGACAGCTGAATACCTGTACTTTATTGACAATGCTATTGACACGATTATAAAGTCGGCATTTTCGGTAGGTTCACCGCAGTTCAAAGATAACCTTCGATGCTACCGAAACTACTTTGCGATCTGTTCTACGTGTATTTTTGTAGGGCCCAAACGACGGTTTCGGGGTTAAGACGATCATGCGGTCGTTCGGTAGCAAGGTGACGGGGGATTGGCTGATTATCGCGTCGAGTCTTTACTTTCCAACTTTTGGAAACCTCGTCGCTGGGTGGGTTCTTTTTGATTTGCTCCCTCGCTGCCTGCTCCAAAAGTTACAAGAACATCTTTCAGCTGTATCACATGGCATTTTCTCCGTCCGCGTGTCACCAAACTCAAACAGAAAACCGAAAAGTCGAATGCAGCCTCCACTATCCAAGTAGAAACCATGACCACTAGAAGGCGAACGACTACCAATGCACGGTAATGCACCGGCTAAATAATTTGTTGCCACACATTTGAGTCGAGAACCATTTATTGACGTAGTAGCAAGCAGAAAATCACCATCCAGGCCCCTAAAACCAGAGGAGAAAGCCGATTTTGCAAAAACTTGAGGCTCTACGGCACGTCGTTTCAAAAAATGACACATCAAAGTCAAGCATTGTCAAATTTCCGGCAGTGCCCTGGGCCCGGCCATATGGCGGTGTATCGTTGGGTTCCAAGCTGTGGTAGGGCGTCAACGGCGGAAGCGAGTTCTTGTGTCTGTCCACCAACGCCCAGACTGTGGTGAGGTCCCGGTTGCAAGCCAGCTCATCACAAAATGTCGTCACACGACCGGCACCCCCGACTCTTACGGATATATCCGACTGTAAAAATAATGCCGCATGCTCGACAACCATTTGTAGGCTTCAGCGTGGACTTCAAAAAGTCCGCCAAGTCAGCTAGCAGATACTCTTTGGTCCCACGGGGAGTAAAAAACCGATGCATCCAAACCAGGTTGAAGACCGTATACGGCTGTTAGCTGCGGCTAAACTTTTTAGCCCACCCCAAATTATGTCTGGCCAACTAATGACTATTTGGGCGGTCAATGCCGAAAGGAAACCCAGTGATCTTATGGTACTAATCCCAGGGTTCAAGTAGCTTTTCTAATTGGAGGCTTTTTAGGTGATACTGAGAAAGCTTGGTACTTCACAGGCCAGTTTTTAATGAGCTTTGAAGCCACCGTAACCCTATGTACATTAAGGGACGAGAAGGTAGGAATATCGCGACGTTGAGCTAAATTTTGAACTTCGAGAAACGCACTCCGCACGCAGAAATGCCTTTTGGTACACATGGATTCAACTCTAAAATCTTCTGAGTGTGCTTACGAAACGCGTCGCGGGCAGGCACCTTCAAAATTCTCCAGTTAGCGCTCAACTCTCAGCCAAAGGGTTTCTCTACCGATTGTATATCGATGGAACAAACCAAAAAAAAAAAACTAATGGTTTTCTAGGGCTTCGTCCCTCGTGCCACCAAGCTAAAACAGAAAAGCGAGAAATCAAAAACGACGCCCAATATCCAACTTGAAACCATGGCGTCTAGCCGACGAACGACCACTACGATCCGATATTGAACCTTCAATAAATTGTAGCAACATATGCATTTATCCGGCCATTTATCAATAAAATCGCACACAAACAAGCATTGGCCATACCCCCAAAAACGGGCGGAAAGTAGTTTTTGCAAATGCTGCTGGCTCCACGGCACGTCGTTTCAAAAATGACAGACCAAAGTCAAGGAATGTCAAATTCGGGTCGGTATCGTGGGCCCGGCCATATGGCGGTGTATCGTTGTGTTCAAAGCTGTAGTACGGCGTAAATGGCGGAAGCGAGTTCTTGTGTCGGTCTACCGCCGCCCAGACGGTGGTGAGGTCCCGGTTGCACGCCGGCTCATCGCAGAATATCGTCACCCACGGTTGATTGGCGTACATCCAAGCGACAGGGCCGACCTGAATTTAAAGGGGCTACGAAATGTGGTTGAAATTTCCGGAATCACGTTTTTGGTTATTTTTTTGGGCAAAACTCAATAATTGAAAAAAAACTGTTTAAAATTGAGTAAATATTTCAGATCTGAGCTCAGCAGCGGCAACGGGCCGTGTTTTTAAAACGGAATCCGGCAAAACGAATTCCGCGCATAAATGGAATGAGTGAGGCAGTGCCTCTGGAATTTCTGTCGGGATACGCCCGCAATCAAACAAACTTTGTTTTGGCACTTTGTTGCCCCTTGCGTAAAACAGCCTGAAAGATACCTCCACGCGTCCCTCCCCTCGAATCGTGTTCTGCATAAAACATCCCCGTTTGGCGACCGCGTAGCTTTCCGCAATTTGTTGGCGGAAATTGTACTCGTTGGTCCAGCTCTGTGTGAAGCTGATGAAACAAAGCTGGCCCACGCACAACGAGTTGTATTTCTTGTCGTAGGCGGCTGGAAAATAATTTTTTCCACTTTAAATTACCAATATCATTGCTTACTTTGCCCGTCCCCAAGCGCACATTCAATGGTTGGTTGTGGGTACATATCCGGGATGATCATCTCGTTACATTGGTCCTGGAGTAGTGCTGAACCGAAGGAACTGCCTGAACTTACGCCACGGCACGTATACGCCATTTCACGGTAGTGCTTTTGCCATTGCCACGTCACGATAGAACCGAAATAATTTCTAGAAAAAGCGCGCTCGAGATTCATAAAGTTTGTTATCCTTACGGCTTCACCATGCTCGACCAACTATTGATAAAGTCATGTCCGCCCATATATGTGCCGGCGGCTTGTTCGATGCGCATGTTCGTGAACTTGCCTGTCATCCCCATGTCCTGCGTGTCACAAATGAGGTTGTTTACGTAAGCCCTTACCATAAGATAGATTACTGTTTGGCAATGGCCGGCCCAGCCGAGCCCGGTGATCCCTGTTTCCGGGGTTTCGTAAAAGGGGTAAGGACGAATTGCCTGAAAATGGAATTTTTTTATTTACGGCGCCGTCGCCATTTCTTTTTGAGCGCCCCCGCCTGTTCCCTTCGCTCCCAGTTCACCTCGCCTATCCAGTGCCCTGTCACCGTAACGGGGCGCGTCGCGCATGCGACGCGGCCCCACTGCCCGCCGGCTCTGCGGGGGCATATTTTCTTTCTAATCTACTTCCAATTCCGTCTTGCCGCCATGATGCTGGTCTAATAAACAGTGTTGAAACTGTTTCGTCCGGCTGCGCAACACCACTCACTCAAGGCACAACATCGGAAAACCGAGACATGCAATGCAACCCCAAACTTCCAAAGTAGAGATGTTGTTATTCAAATCAAATCTGAGGATTTGCGAGTTTCTCAAATCAAAATCAGGTTTGATGTGATTTTCCGGCAAAATCAAATCCAGATTTGATTTCGGGTTTGATTTGAATAATAACATCTCTATTCGAAAGCGTAACAGGATACGGGCTATTGCACTATTTGAGTTACGACCACCGTGCGTTCCGTGTGGTGTGCGTAAATTCGGGCGCTACCAACCCACAAACAAACTCGCGGCCGTTCGTCAAATCATCCAATCATCAATCCAAAACTAACCGTAAAGCGACGGCACGTGAATGTGGGCAGACTGACGTACACCGGTAGCACGGTCCGGTTCTTGTACAGAATGGTCGTCAACTTGGCTGCGTCGTCCGAATTTGGTTCCAGCGTCAGTTGGTGATCATACATCACGTCCGGGTTGCATTCTTCGGGACTCAACTCCAGAGTTCTCGATAGACCTTTTCGCTTACCCGAGCACACACATCAACCAGCCGGAGTAGGTGGTCCGTGTAGTCGCACACCCATAGCGCATATACTTTTGACCACCCATCTGAAGATACGTGAGCGCTGGCAACGGCAAACGAAAGCCCCACCATCCATGTTACGTCTTTCCATTGAAACCAGAAATTGGACTGATTTCTCGGGTTTCCGTAAAGTTGGCTGGTGAATACGTAGCAGTACTGTGAGGAGTCAACGTATTGAAATCCACTAAAAATGATGAGTGAATCAACGTGGGCCCATCCATCTACCGCCACGTCCAATAAACTTACTTGATTTCTGTGAAATTGACCGTATTACCAAGAACACACAACCATATTAAAAACAATAACGCAACGAAACCCATTCGCCCCTAAAGCAGCAATGGGTGGCAGAAAGACTGCAGGTAGCATTCTCCAATACGGTTGGTGAGTCTGGCAAAAGTGGCAATTAGCGAGGGTAGAGATTTTTCTAAACAACCCTAATTATGGCGTGCTTTCAAAGCCGTTTTTTAAAAACCAACTGCTTGATTCTAATTTGTGAGCGTACGTACCAACGCGTTTAAATCGCGTAACAACCTGCTCAAAAATCATTTGAATACACACGTACCTTACGTAAATTGACATCTAAATGTCAACCCCCCCAGGGTCGGGGGCTTTGGGTGAAATTGGCGGTCTACCTGTAGATAATCACCGGGTTAGTACATCGGTCTTGAGAAATTGGCATGGAAAAGACGTTGTCTTGGTATCTCGCTCTTTCCAACTTCCGCCAGAAATCGGCACGTACTATTCTGCTGAAATGGGCACACAAGACTGGGTGGCAATCATCATCATGGGCGGGGCAAGCAGACCCCTTTACAGGGTGACCAGTAGAGAGTTGTAGATCTGTTGCAAAAAAAAACCCGTGCGCACAAGTGATACTTTTAACCTGCATTCCCTATCAGCAGCTGTATAAATTGTAGTATAGAAAGTTATTTCCTGCTAGTAAGTATTACACCACCGTGTAGTCAATTTTATGCATGTTTTGTATCATAGTGCAATTTTATTATCAGTTTCCTCATTCGTTAATTGAATTGGTATAATTCTGGCGGTTTCCTTTCTTCTGAGGACTCGGAGGAACCAGACGAAGAAGGTGAAACCTAAAATGTGTTTTTCTTAGATTAAAAAGTTTTATACCGATAAGCAACAACCCCGCCAAGATAGCTAGTAAGACGTCGATGGTACACTTTGAACTGACATAGTAGAAAACGCCGGTCGCCGCAGCTTGATAGAATTTTGAGACGCAAAAGGCGATGGCTGGTTCTTCCGGGTATGCGGTCGCGGAAGCGATGATGCGGACGTTATTCATGCTGCCATCTACGAATCCGCAGAGGACACCGATAATTGTGCACATGTAGAGTCTGAAATGATCATAAAATATCTGAACACTTGTTAAGAGATTTTTAAGAGGATTTTTTAGAAACTAACAAGGGAACCAGCTAAGGACGAGGTGGCGTTTCGGTATGGGACCCAACCTATCATGTGCAGAATTTTTTGCTGATTCCGAATCTGCTTTTAATTTTTGCCAAATAGCCCCATTTAAAAATTTAGGACGAGTTTAAGACCCGTTTTGAGGCCGCGTGTGGTCAATTTTTTTTGTTTTATTTTGCCTATCCATTTCAAATAGCCGATTTCTTAGAGAATTTTTTCTGATTGGAATCCCATATTTGATTAGTGCGCTACTGCCTATCGACGATCACATACGGGGGCGGGAAGTAGGCTGTTTTTCAACATTTCCCATAAAGAAACGGAGTCCATACCATACCGATTTTTTCGATTTTCAACAATTTTGGGTTAAGAAGCTCATTCGATAGAGCAACTTTTCTGAATCCGGGCGCAAACCTCGTTTTTGAGAAATCAGCCGGAAAAGGCAAATTAAATGACCTTGAAGTTCGCAAATTTGGGAAAAAATCGAAATTTGAAACGCTATAACTCCTAAAACGAGCTATTTGGCAAAAAAGTTGAAATTTTGCGCGACATAGGCTCGGCTCCCTAACGAAACACCACCTCGAGCTTAGGTGGTTCCCTTGTAAGGCGATACTAGGCCAGCGCCACTCTTTTACGATATTTACTCACTAGAAATGTCTGAATGCAGCAAACGTCGATTGGATATCATTGACGCTCGGTAACAAAATTCAAACCCTTCTCGTCATCTGGCACCTTTGAGAAAACAGAAAACATTTTACCTTGGCGCCAAAATCGACACCTCTTTCGTTGGTCTCATCGAGGCTTCAGGAGGCGTAAATAGCATCACCAGCGTAGCCCACATCGTAAACCACACCAGCGTCATGATCATAGCTGGCATCAGGCCAAAACTCTTGATCCGCCGACTGATTAGCCCCATCGCGACACCGACTAAAATGGTGCTGATAGTTTGCGTTGGCGATACGCAAGGTAATGATGAAAACTTACTTATCAACTCTCCCACCGACATGCTCATACATACAAAAGCCACCAAATTGTCTTCATGGGCAAATATATGCGTGAAAGACACGGATGTGGTATAGATGGAATTCATAAAGCACGTGAAAGCACCACAGAAAATGTAGTGCGGGATAAGCTTGGTGAGCCCCGGGTTTTTCAGGGCTTTGTAGATCAGACCTGAAATTTTTAGGTATGAATGCGACGAGGGGACATAGTAAGAAATTTAGCGTTAAGGTACTACGGTAGAAATACGTACCTAATTGAGCTCTTATCGTGATATTAGTTGCTTTGACATATAGTGATCCTTTAATTCGACGGCTTGGCAATAATAGGCATAAAATTATTGCCAGCACTGACGATGCCATCATGCCAATTTTTAAGGTATTAATTTCGGCATCAGAAAATTCACGGTAAGAGGCATCGTTCTAAAGAGTTGTAGCTTTTCAATAAGCCTTTTTGGGGCCTTATAGCAGGGTAAAAATCAAGACGATACTGACCTCGTTATGCGAAGAATTCCCTTTCTCCGAATCCTTTGTAAGCGCAGAAGATACAATCATGTAATTTCCGCTGACTAGCATACTAAAAAACTAAAACTTGACCTATCGTACCGTACCTACTCATCATGAGCATAAAAGATAGGGCTTGAGTTCGAGCCAACGTGGCTTCAGTGGAATGTTTTGCGGCATAAGCACCAGTGCCACAGTAAAACACTAAAAATATAGAGCGTTGAATTGCCGTTAAGACTTACATGCCGCTCCGATACCCGCAATGGCGGAGCATGGAAAGAATATATAATTTCTGATCAACAGAAAATTCGATGAATATATTGTGAAGCAACAAATTGCGGCGAGGATCGTTTTCTTGCTCCCAAAACGGGCCAGAAAAACTGGAGCTATCAGATTTGCCACGGTGAAGCAGGCGTAGAGGAGGCATTGGCTAAAACCAGAAAAATAAACTTTATAAGATAAGTTCGATTTTAGGGCTTCCTAGAAAGGCCAAAAACGCATCTAGAAAATTCTGGCTTTTTCTGGAGTATATTTATGGGGCAATTTTCATTTTTCGAGGCGTAGAATATCCAAAAAACATTTTATGAAAATATTTTTGTCGAGAAACTTTTCGTAAAAATCTAATGTCAAAATTTTAATACGTTGAAATCTAAATTTTCTACATTTTTCAGATGAATTGATTTCGACAAAATAAGAGCAAGCATTGTTAGTGTGTTTCCGATATCAGTATTTTTTTTACTATTACACTCACGCGTAATAGCCGGCAAAATCGATAATACAATCCGGGCATCTGTCCTTCACGGAATGCATAATGGTCTCCGCCAGAAATACCATAATATCGAAGCCAAAATAAGAAAATATCCCGACAACGCCGACCATGATCGACACCATGACGCAAAACGTGTCATCCTTCATCTAAACGGCCAAGACTTTTAATATAAGGGTGTATTAAGAAGCCTAAAACCCAAAAACAATCCTAACTTTGCAATAATGAGCTTGGAACTTAACTAGAGATATCAGACTAGAGACTATCCGCTCGGAGCACGGTCAAGCGAGATCACTCGGTGATATACCGGCCCGTTGTGCAAGAGTGTGAAAAATCTGGGATCAGCATGCGATAAAACGTCAGCGGCCAATTAGGCGGAAGGAGGGCGAGAAACAGAATGGAGATATGGAAGCAGTGGCTGGTTCGAGTGGTGTTATCGCGGCTAATCCCAATGTTGATCAATATTTCGTCGAAACGGAAGCATCTTTGGCACTCTGGAGTTGTGGAACAACAGATGTGATTCAGAGGGGCAAAATAAAAAAAAAACATGTAGAGAAATGGCAAATCTTTGATGATCCATCAACTATTTTTGGTCTGATATGTCTAGAAAATCAAAAGGCGAGGACTTTGTAGAAAATAACAGTACTTGGGCTATCGTAGATTGCAAATCAATGGAAAACAAGGTACGAAAAACAAGGGGTACAGTCACTACCCCGAAAGTCACTACCCCGAAAAGTCACTACCCCGAAAAGTCACTACCCGAAAGTCATTTTGAAAAGCCACTACCCCGAAAAGCCACTACCCCGAAAAGTCACTACCCCGAAAAGTCACTACCCCGAAAAGTCATTACCCCGAAAAGCCACTACCCCGAAAAGCCACTACCCCGAAAAGTCACTACCCCGAAAGTCACTACCCCGAAAGTCATTACCCCGAAAAGTCACTACCCCGAAAAGCCACTACCCCAAAATAATTTACATGATTTTCATAGGAAAACCGCATGAAAACTGGATTTTTCCGGGAAAAACAATGCTGTCATTTTTCGGGGTAGTGACTTTCGGGGTAGTGACTTTTCGGGGTAGTGACCGGACGCCGAAAAACAACTTCCTCACATTGTCCCTGTTCGAGTGACCCCAGCCCAAGTTCCTGGTTGGGAAAAAAAAGCCAGGAAAAGCCTTCGGGTCCTCCTTTTACACAGCACATCGCGAGCCCTCGTTCGCAATGTTGATTTTTTGGACTGGCAAAGCAAAACATCAAGCAAAAGGAGGGCAAAAATAGTGTGTTCCGAAAAAAAACGATATAACAGTCATAACAAGTCAGCTAATCTGTAATTCGTTAATGTATTTTTGGAGAAACATGAATTGAGAAAAAAGATAATTGGAAACGAGAAAATTTTATTAGGGTCGGATACAAACCGGAAAGGCTTCACGGTTTTTTTAAGATGGGGAGTTTCAGATTTTTCAGATTACCGATCGTCCTTCCAGATATTCGCCGTCATAATTCCTCTTCAGAATACACCTCCCGTACTTGGTAAGGATATTCTATGCCCAGATTTGTCGGGCGAACTATTGCACGGATCCCCGCAATTCGGCGGTCACGTCGTCTTGAGGCTTATCGCGAGCTTTCGGCACGTTTATAAATGGGCATAAATCAAGTCTGCACCTGCTCTGCTAGCTGCTAAGAGATTACCGCCCGCTACCGCTTTAGGATCATACTACGCTTAGCTACTATTGCCAAAGCCAAAGATACCTTAAAAGGGTTCAGAAAATCATGAAGGATGATACCTTCTGCATTCTTGCTTCCTTACTACTAGGTATCCTAGGGATACTATCCTTTGCACCCCTTGACATTATGATATTCTTGGTCGAGACGATATTCCATTCAGTAAGGGACCGATGCCCCGAGTGCATTATCGATTTTGCAGGGTATTACGGGTATACTATCCTATTAAAACACCGTTTTTTTGTCATTTTTAGACAATGCGTCTTGTATACCTTCTTCACTTTCGCCAACCTTGCCGCCCCGGTTTTTTTTTGCATAGATTTGGGACCAAGAAGACGCTCCTAACTTCTATAATCTGCTTCGTCATATATTCCTCGAATTTCTTATTGATCCGGAATTATGTGTACTTTCCGTGCTGTGCGTTTGCGGGGGTTGGGTTGGCGTGTGAGTTTTTTGAGGTTATACGTTTTTTTTAGTGAATTTTTAACATCACTTTTAGCTATTCGTTAAGAAAAAAAAAGACAGAAAACATAAAAATGATGATGCCTGTCGTTTAACCAGCTTTTTAAGGAAGAAAGGAAACTAAAAATCTATGATTTTTAGTCTTTTTCTGCGGGTTGCGGCGCCTACACGGCAAAACACTCGACGGCTCGAACCTTATCTAGAACCCAATCTTTCTCTTTTATGCTCACCGGAAGCAGGTAAAAATTACGATAATTACTCTAGTAATATGCTATAAAAATAAAGATCTTAAAATTTAATTGTTAACGATTTTTAGCATGCTGCTCAGCGGAAGTTTCATGATCCTTACCTCGGCTATTGCGAAGAGTCCAAGTGCGGATCACTCAAGCGACTCGACGGTATTCAAAACTAATCACCACTTAATTTTCTCCAGAACCACACCTTATATCGAAAATTCTCAGACTCGGAAATCCACGTCTTCCGGATCGGGATGATTTTTGTGTCGATATTGGCGCTAATTTTGTGCTCATTATTACCGTGTCGGAAAATCAAAGGGGCGATTTATCAACGAGACATGACAAAGACAGCTGGGGATCAATTTAGTGAGTCGTTTTCGGAGAGAGAGAGAGTGAGAGAGAGAGCGAGCGAGAAAGAGAGAGAGCAACAGGGCACAAAACTTTGGGTCGCGGTCACCGCAACACCATTTTTCCAGAAATGGTCCTTCGAGCCATGCGCAACCCCGGTCTACTACGTCTCATTCCTCTCTACATCTTCTGCGGAACCTTCACCTGTTTTATGAACTCAATCTACACTACGACGGTCTCATTCACCGAATCCTTCGCCGACGACAGGAATCTGGTCGCTTTTGTCTGCATGAGCATGTCGATTGGAGAGTTGTCGGGTGAGTCTATTTCCCCTAGGGCCTAGTATCAAAAACGACGTAACAATTTAATAACTACGGTACACGAACAAAATGCAATGTGTTGTAATTCCCTTTATATTAATCGCAAAAAAATAATGACCCTTTAGTCGGTCTTGCGATGGGATACCTTAATCGAAAAGTCAAGGACTTCGGTCTCCTGCCAGCCATGATACTCACTTGCATAGCTTTTACTGTTTATGGCACTATGGTCGTCCTTTTTACACCTCCAGAAGCAACGATGCATCCTACTGGGGATATTTCGGCGTTTTCACCAAGGTATAGAAAGACCTTAAAGTCTACTTCGACTTTAGAAAGCTCATCTGCCTGCTAATCGGGTTAATCTGCGGCCTGGTGGATGGGAGTATGAATAACGTTAGAATCGTATCATCGGCTTCTGCCTATCCTGAAGATCCAGCCATCGCTTTTTGCGTCTCAAAATTCTATCAGGCTGCCGCTACCGGGTTTTTCTACTACGCGAGCTCGATCTGCACCGTGTATATTTTGATGGGGCTGCTAGCTGGGCTTTTGATGCTAGGTATGCAAACTTTAAAACCGTATACTGGTACTTTTTAGGCCTCATTTGCTTCGGATTCTTTTTGAGGTGGCTCCGGAAAAGTCGAAAAGAAATATTGTTGAAACAGAAGATTCAGCCCATAAACCGGAATTTTCATAAAATATAAGCCTCGCTAATTCGTTAGCAGAATTGATTTGAGAGAGATAGACAGAGAGAAAAAAAGGAGAGAAAGACACGCAGAGAGTGGGAGAGAGAGAATGAAAGAGAGAGTAAAAGAGAGAGATAAAGGAAGTGAGAGAGAGAACGAGAGAGAGAGAGAGAGAGGGAGAGAGAGAGAGAGAGAGAGAGAGAGAAAGAGAGAGAGAGCGAGGGAGAGAGAGCGAGAGCGAGAGAGAGAGAGAGGGTGAGAAGGAAAGACACGCAAAGAGCGGGGAAGAGTAAAAGTGAGAGTTAAAGGGAGAGAGAGTGCGAGAGAGAGAGAGAGAGAGAGAGAGAGAGAGAGAGAGAGACGGATCAAACCACCACCTCAGCTAACCTGACCACAAAAATGTATGTACCCTTGCCGAGAGCCATCGCACCCAGCCTAACCCTCAGAATTATTCAAATCGCTCCCCACCTAACCCCGTCGATCATTTTGGGGCAGATTGTGCAAGGTTGACCACCACCGGGCACCGATTTCTATAAATTCCGCTGGAGGCAGGACCGTGAATTGACTCGTTACATTTGGATATAAAATAATTGAAGATATTCTTGGTTCTAAAAACTAGCCAAGATGAACGACGATCGGTTTATGGTGATGGCGGCAATTCTGCTGGGTTTGTCTTTACTATAAAGTTTTCTTTTAAAGTCCCTAAGCATAGACATCATAGTCATTTATGCGTATTTTAAACGGCTTCTGTTCACTTAATTTTTGATCGGAATCTGGACTTTAAAAGGATACCGACGGCGTGGGTCGATGACCCCTGATCAACTTTTTGGCGTATAGCCAACAGCGCAGAGAACGCGCCCAAGTGCGAGACGCAGAGACTGTTTCCAGCGCGCAATCGATGCCGTCCTTATCCCTTTAAAGCCATCGAAAATTATTTTCTTGCTTCCCAAAGAAACCTACCTTATATAATTTTGGCGTGTATGTATGTGTGTGTGTGTGGATGTCAGTTTCGAGACCCGATTTGAGGGCCTTCCCGTGTCCAAAACGTCCCAATTCTCCGTCACTTGGGGGAACCGACCTTTCTATTTCCGATGGCGTGTTCAGAACTTCGATAAAATACAAGTTTACAAGGTTAAAGCCGGTTTTACTCATTTTTTGGGTCCATGAGGGCTAATTTGCATAATGTGAAAAATACAAATTTCCTCATTCTTGCAAGTCGCACGCGCGCGTGTGGTCGGACGGGGGGAGGGGGTCCGAAGGACCCCGAGCTATCGGGAAGGCCAATTTCTCATGCAAAGGCCAAACCCCCGCGAAGCGGGTTTTGGGCGCTGGTTTAAAATATAAAACACTTCTGAGCATCCACAAGTGCCTTAAATAAGTATTATACCCTTAGCTGGTAAGATCTTATTTCAGGCATCGTCCAGCTACTCGGATTTTACGGTTTCGACATGATGGCTTTTCTCGTAGAACCCGTCTGCCATTCAGTCCGGGAGCGGTGTCCAGATTGCATAATCGAATATGCCGGATATTATGGGTACCTGAACGCTTTCTGTATCTTAAAACCTTTAATTTTAGGGTAGCTATCCTATGCTTCTCCTACACCATCGGAAACCTGATTGCCCCCTGTCTTTTGCCGATTTTCGGGTCCCAAGGCTGCCTGACCCTGTCAGCCCTGTGCTTTGCTTCTTACGCAGCAAATTTTTTTGTATTTGCGAAACTATTTCTATTTTCCGGCCTGTGTCCTGGGCGGCTGGGGCTTTGCATGTAAGTTGTAGGATTTAAACGGTTATGGCAGATAATAAAAATCCAGTTTTTTGCGCTGGCGGTGGTTCCTATGCACTGCGTCACGCCACGGATCGTACGCTTTCCAGGAACCAGTCAATCACCTGGATGGTGGGAAGTGTTACGTAAGTAGTAAACATTGCAATGATTTGCTGAAGTTCTGTTTTAGTACCCTACTAAGCGGTGTTTTTCAAATTGTCACTAATATGGTGCTTGACGAGATTCCGGATGAAAATATCACTACGCTGGCATATGAGGTAAAGGTGAGGGTGCGTCGGAACTTCACGGCAAGCTTGGCAGCTTCAACGGCTGAATTTCAACGCCGTTTTAGAACCAAGCTGCTTATCGTGATTTCTCGGATTTGGAAATCCGTATCTTATCCACCGGAATGACATTGTTGGCGTCTGGAGCTCTACTCATTGGATTATCACTGCCCAAACGCCAAATACCAGACTGCCTTCAACAACGTGTAAAAACGGGCATTAGCTTTGGAGAGCAGATTGGTTTGTCTTGACAAGTTTGCCATTCTAACCCTAAATCTAGGAAAAGTAGCCCGCGCCGTCGTCCAGTACGAATCGCTACTACTTGCGCCCTTTTACCTATATACTGGTCTCGTAATCAGCATATTCCTGACGCTATACCCGACCACGCTCGCGTTCACCGATTCTCTCGCCGGGGAGAAGAACACTGTGGCTTATTACTGTATTGCAGTGACGATTGGGGAAGTGATCGGTATGCTTTCGTACTTCTTTGATCGTTTCATCATTTGAAAACCAAAAATCCTATTTTTCAGTCGGTCTGATCATCACGGCGTTGAACAAGCGGGTCAAGGATTTTGGCATGGTGCCAGCGCTGTCAATAACGACTGCATTGACGGCCACGGTTGCCGCATTAATGATAGCGTTTACACCAGCTCTATCGTCATTGGCACCAACCAAGGAGGTCTCACTTTTTTGAGCCAAGGTAAGCGGGGTTAATAGGCTTCTTGTCTTTTCGGGTTCTTACCGAGCACCAGGGTTAAAGTTCATCTAGACCAGTTTTTTGAGCGGATTCCGAATCTACGGTCGATTTTTGACCAATGAAAGTTAGATCTAACCGTTTTTCGTAGCTTAGCGGAAACACTTTAAACAAAAGCATGAAATTAAGGCGTTTGGCATGAAAAAAATCTTGCGAATCCGATGGAATAAAAAACGAAAATCAAAATAAGACCTAATAACGTGTGAAGAAGGAACTTCAGCTTTAAAATGGCAAAGCCAGGGAATACTCCGAGGATTAAAAAAAATCGATTTTAGCGCAACGGTCGCCATCATCCTCGGAATTTTATGCGGAGCCCTGGATGGGGCGGCAAATAATTGCCGTATGGTTTCGGCGGCTAAATCCTTGCCCGCTGACCCAGCCATTGGCTTCAGTGTTTCAAAGTTTTATCAGGTAGTCTTGTTTTTTATTTCTTCCTCTTGCGTATCAGGATTGAACACGCATTGCGAAAAAATTAGACGCGTCGCGTGTCGCGGTAACTCAAAAATCACTGGCAATACTTTGCCAACTCCTTTAACTTTATCATTTTTTTAGGCAATCGGCCAAACAACCTGCCTCTACCTCGGCGCCATGTTTGATATGCATCAGATGATCTTGCTGTCTGCGAGTATGCTGATTGCCGGTAGGTTTCTAGCATTCTTCGAAAACCCCCAAGGTTTCCAGGTATTTTCGGCTATATCCTCTTCCTACGCGGGCTCAGCAATCGAAAGGTTTCAACCCAAAAGATACCTCATTAAAAACCGTACATTTGGTTACTCCGAAAACCACTCGGAATAAATAATTTATTCAGAAAAAGACAGTCAAAGAATCCAAAAAAAACGTTAACAGCATGGAGGAGACGGATTTATGTGGCGGATTCGGTTTTGAGGACAGTTTCTTGGAGACGTGACGTTGAATTCGGTGGTTGATTTTTGATGCTCGGAAGCCTCACAGCAGGATGCCGTTGCGGTGGCTGGTCGCTGAAAAAAATAAAGTTAATAAAAATTCTATTATATTAATTTAATTATTATATTCATTTTAAATTAATAAATATAATTAAAAATCAACAATTATTTGCTTTGTTAGGTACAATTCGGATAAGCGGGGGGGGGGGGATTTTAGGCGGGGGGTAAACCAACTTTTTTTTGTCGGTCCTGGTGGGGATAGGAATCAACTATAAAGTGTTTTCACATTGTTTTTAGCAAAATTTAAGCCTATTTGAATCGGAAAAACTTTTTAAAAAGTTAGAAAAACACCTGAAAAAGTCGAAAATTTTGGTCATTTTTGTGCCGAAAAAATTGATGTTTCGACCTAAAATTAAATTTTTTAATTAAGTTTTGCAAATTTTTTATGTTTAGGAATAGCTATAAACAATTTAGAAACACTTCCACTATTTATATAAAAAATATAGGCTTGGGCGGAAAAAAGTTCGGTTTACCCCCCGCCTAAAATCCCCCCGCTTATCCGAATTGTACCCTTTGTTATATCATATTTATTTTATTAAATTAAAAATACCAAAACTCGAGATACTACCAAATCCGAGATAATACCAAAAACGGTTACTGCCGGTTACTCAGAAACCAAAAATTTGCATACAGTCGCTGGTGGGGTAGGTCTTCGTGTAGGTGCCCAATGGGGATGCGTTCCGCTCGACGCGGCGCTGGCTCGACGTCGTGGAGCCGTTCAGCTCGGCCTTCAGCTCGGCGACTTGACCGCTGCAAAAAGGTGGATTTTAAAGCGTTGTGAAAGGCATTCGTCTCAATTCTACGGCGAAACGCGACGCGACCGCCTGCTCAGCACGTAAAACGCGGTCTGAATCGGTTACGCAGTGGAAAGTTAAGGTCCGTATCGCGGGGTGCGAAAATCAGAAAACGCACTAAAGCCGTCCGATGAGGTAGATGACGCAAATATTGTGGGCGATGAACAGGTAGAAGAACAGCTCCATCGCGCCGTTGCACGACGACGGCAGCAGGCTCTGTAGCTCCTGCAATTGATTTGAATTTGAGGTCAAATTTGCATACCCCAACCTCCATTGTCAAAGCAATCGAATCGGGGGTGCGAGACGAGTTCAGATATGCCGCTTTTCCCGTTAATTTTTGGGATAGGATCCCGGAAATGGTAATTGTTATATTCGAACTGCAAGTGCAGCTTGATAGTGCAAACGTGACACAAAAACGACTCTTTTCTAACGTCCGATCCTTGCAAATTGCCTTTCCAATCATGCAATGACCACATAGCCTCGTTTTTCACGTATCTCGAAATTTCTGGCTTCTTCAAAACGCTTTCCTAAATCTCTAGTCAAACCTAACGAGCCAGGCTCTATTTGTTCACATAAATAATCGCTCGTAAATGGCCGGAAAAGCCGCGCGTTATCAGTTGAAAGGTCTAAGCGGCTTTTCCATCCCTTGGTCTAGGGCTTATCCCGCGCCAACAGCCGTTGCTTGCTTCCGAATTCGCAGGTTTTTCGGGGGGTCAAGTAGACCAAGGTACGGGCGTCTACTTTAGGTAGCTACCGGTTATAATCCGATTGCACGATGGTGATCTCTATTCAAAAACTACAGTTCTTCGTCACGAAGTCCTCTGAGTCTTCCAATACTTGTTTTCCGGATTCGTTAGTTTTATTTTCTCTCATTCTGTTGATTTCTCTCTCACTATCACTCGCTCTTTCGCTCTCTCTTTCTCTCTGTATCTCTCTCGCTCTGTATCTCTCTCACTCTCTCTCTCTCTCTCGCTATTTCTCACTCTCTCCCTCTATGTTTCAATGAAACTAACTTGTTCTAATTTTTGAATTTACAGTTTGTTCTGACCTATCTATCCCCAGCCCTCGCTCCAGAATTTTCCATTCCGATCACCGACCTCTTCTAAAATATCCCCAGTGAAGTCGCACGAGCCCATAAACCATGACTTGCCGCCTTTGATAGCCTGCAAATAAGGCCCGTAGCGCGTAAAAATGGAGCCTCTCCCCTTTGTATCAAGGACCCGGCGGCACGCAAATTCCAATCCGTATCACCCTCCACTCTCTTCGTGTGTCGTTGACGAAAAACCGGCGACTTTTGGGAGGACTTTGAAAAAGGATATGACACATCTAGGGGGACGTACTATCGGTCGTTTGGCTGATTCTGAATTTTGAAATATCATGGTCGTGGCGAACGTCCGTTGAGGGTGGAGCCGCAAAGAGGATTTCCAGGATTGCCGATTTCTTCCGAACGCATTTGTAAAAAGGGCCAGAAGCGCGCATCAAAAAAAGGCATCCCACACCCGTTTTTCACTGTCACCACGCCTTTAAAGCGGTCTAGTTGACAATTCTTCCTCTGATTTTTTCCACCCTAGACTTAGCCTTTTTGCTATGTATATTACATTTCATGTAAATTCTTTGGTTTTCAGATTTTGCCTACGCGAATAATCTTTTTATTTACAGCTTCGCCCTATCGCTGGGTCCATCATGGATTCATGGCGGAAGGTAAGAATCAGCTATGACTTTTTCGCCGTGTTTTCTTTTTCGTTTAAAAACAAAATAAATTTGTCACTGCTTTTTTTAAAAATAAGCCTGTTGCCTTAAACGTTCTTAAAGGACCATTTTTAAAAGCCATTTCTAGAAGACGTTAGTGGTGATCACAATATGCATTCTGCTGCTAATCGCCGCAGCCATTATGCTCGGAATCGGAATCCACAAGGCGAAGCAGGGTAAGGAAACGTATTTCTTACAGTTGTGGCACTTTTTAGACAAAGAAAATTACGACGAGTGTAAGAAGGAGTGCGCGAATGCAACTATCCATACTGTCGGCAGCGTTCTGCACTTTTCCATTGACCCGGGCGTACCGTGGAATGATTCGTACAGTAAACCCGATGACCCGGCTACGGTGGCCGTGATTTCGGAGTTTCAGCAGAATGTACGAGCTATTATAACCAGATTTTAATCCTAAAAATTGTGTCGAACGTATGAAAATCGATTTAAGGTATCTTCGATGCTGGGATCGAATTCTTTTGCGATCCAAGAATTTCGGACTATTCTGCAATTCTCGACTTTGGCACTGAATTCAAGACTTTTAGCCGTGTCACCGGATTATTTGGTTCCGTACGTACTTTTATGCATTTTATTGATTTTTAAAATACCGTAGGTAGGCTAAAAAAAATGTGAAAACGACACTAATATCTATTATTTTCCACAGGCAAGCAACGTAAGCTAATTTTTTACCTTTAGAAACCTGCAGCACGACACCCAATTCTACGGGACCCTCGTTTTTTCGTCAAAAGTCAGCGCTGAAGATGTACAGGCGGCCTTGAGGACAAAGTATACCACCGCTACCGTAGCAGGTAACGCATTAATATGGTAATTTTGTTAAATACTAAATTTTAGAATCATCTCATGTCTATTGCCAAGCTCTGATCGAACAGCCGACTCCAGTGCCGCCGCCTTTGGGAGGTAAGTAATTTAATCAGATAGTTATCGAGCTTAGAGTTGCTGTTTGCTAAAAAGATAAATATGCTATATTAATTACTTGATTTTATATTGCATGCTTTAATTAATGATTTTGGATCACCTTTTTTCTCATGGTAGCTAAAGCTAAAGCTCGAAACCATAAGACCATTTCTGCTTCGTTATCATCTCCGCCGAGCCGTTTTTTCGTTTTGCTTAGGTCCAGAAATTTTGCTGCTTTGCTTTTCAAGGGTTGTAAACCCGCACATTTCTCACGCTAGCTCGAAAAAACTCACTTTATTGAGGGCTGATAAGTGGGCACTCCACTCGAGGTCCCTGGCTGATAAGCTTTTCATGAAACTTCCCCCCGGGTAGATCTGCACGCACAATTTTGAAGAGCAAAAAGTGCAAGAAACGAAATGGGTGAAAAGCTTGAAAAAAAGCAAAATTTACCTAACGACCTTGCAGACTATCCCTGCGACCCGCGCTCACCCTCACGAACGGTTATCGTAATGGTGGATGTCGCCACACCGATGGATCCGACGGTTTCGAGTAAAGATAAACTGACAGCGGTAAGTTATATTAAATTTGAGGAAAAATACTAGCGTAAAACTCTGAAAAATGTAGCAAAAACACTCCAGTTTTGAAAGGTAACAGCAACATACTAGCCAAATTAAACCAAATACCACAGTACTGTGGCTAAATTCGGCATTGTTAGGTTCAATCCTACCTGAAATCACTTTCCCCACCGGCTGGCACGGATTGGCAAGGGCTAGAGATGGGCATCGGCGTCTACGAGGGCAGCAACGCGTACTTGTTGAATAATTGGCGAAGTAATAGCCAGGTAAGTGGCATCGGCGTTCTTCTGATAATTATCATCAGGGCCGTGCCTGGATTATTAAATTACCGACCCAGATTTTAGCCATTTCTATTAGTTATTTTCTAGAGCGTTAACGCACATAAAACATTTGGAGGTAGTGAGAGTACTTTAAGTACCTTTAAAATTTGAAAAATTCGAAAAAAGCAATTTTTTTAGGCAGAATGGGATGCAGCCATCGCCCAAGTAATGCTGAATGAGACCTCGGAAAGCCACAACGTCACTAGGTAACTTTAGTACACTTCGGTATAACAAATCTCCAGAGCTTTCGAATTTGTTCGCGATGAGTTTTCCAACCCCAACCTACAACTCAAAGTCGGAACCGCGAGATCGCTGATCATACTGGCCGATGGATTGTGGGTCCATTACAGATTTTCTATGTGTTTTTTTAGTGAATACGACAATGGATTCGGGGAAAATCGGAGTCGAGTACTTGCCGAGGTCGTTGCCCAAACTTTCTATACGTCAACGGTGCTCGTCAGGTGTGAAAAATCTAAGCTTTTTGAAGATTTGAATTGTAGCAACTCGCGCGACATCCGATCCGTATTTACCTCGATTTTACCATCCGGTTACAAGTTTATCAACATTGACTATTGGTACCAGTTGGGGATGGAGGACATCAGGACGAGAAGCTTGTGGTGGATATGCTTGTGTAAGTCGGTTTGGCTTGACAGTTTACGAACCGAAGCTTGGCTTGAAAATATCATAAAGTCAATGGACGGGCTCAGAAAATGCCTAGTGGTCGACCGGAAGTGGTTTTCAAGCATTAATTCAGGGCAAAACCGTAGAAATTCCGCGAAAAATTGAAGAAAAAGGAAGAAAGAAAAGGAAAAGGAAAAATGGGTGCTAAACTCCGGTATTTTCCGTCCAAAGGCCGAGTTTCAAAACTTTTAAAAGCCTTTCTAACGAAAAAGTCGATGCTATGATAGTAAAAATACTTTGTAACTTTGTAATAATTATAAGATGAGAGTACTTCAGCTCTTCCTCTAACCACACCACCACCAACCCTCATTCCGCCGACAGAGAACCCGATTACCGTACTGACGACGCCACATCACCGGCCTACAGTACCTCCCACCCCACCGGGGCCTCCAGATTTACGTAAGGATCCCGTTAATGGGATGTGAAACCCCCACATTTTTAGCGGAAGCTTGCGATGGGCTTCAAGTGCTTTTCCTCATCGACATGTCGCAGAGTATTGATGACAAATTCGGGGTATGATTTTGTTATTTTTAAGAATTATACGCATAAATTATCAGGTGCAATTAATATTATAGGAGCTAGTTAATTAATATTATGTAAGTTTATTATTAATATTATGTAAGTTATTCAGATAAAATAAGATCTGACTATTTCAGGAATTTAGTTTGTTATGTTAATTTTTATGGCTAATTTTAGAACATCATCACCTTCATCCAATCCTTCATGGCTCAAACGGAACGCGCTAACGATACAAAATTCGGCTATATTTCGTTCAACCAAGTCATCCACGACCATTCTGGCACGCTCCGGGATCCCGTGGATTTCTTGGTGTATTTGAATTCGACGAAATACATCAATGGAAATACATATTATACTGTGTAGGCTTTCCCACCACCCAAAATTTCCACTGAATTCGAATTTTAGTGGCTTTGATGCGATGAGCTCGTTCAACCAATTTTTCAATCCGAATGCCAGCCGAGTTGTGGTATTTGTGACTTCTGAAAAGTAAGATCCATGGACGATTACGTGCACTTAAGGAAGCTATATGAAAATACCTTCTCAAATTATCAAGCAAACGTTTCAAAAATAAGGTAGTTTCTAGTGCGATTGATATCAGCGCGGCAAATATCGCAAAAATGGGAAAAATCGTCCAGGAAATGCGAGATGGAGGTGTTCAAGTAAGCTTTTGTTGCTAGCGTTGTTTAAGAATAAAATTCTTTATCAAATAAATATTATTATCCTCACAGCTATTACTTGATATAAACTTGTTTTTAGTTCATTACCACCCTGACGTATCCTACCGCCGACAAAGTGGTGGTCCTCAATCAAATTCTGCAATACGGGAGCCCGGCCGACACCAATAGGTGCGTTTAACAAATGTTGAGTTTCGTACTAAAACAAATTTTTAGCGCAAAAGTCATCCAGACTACAAACTACGACACGTTGGTGCCGATGGCCTTCCAGGTTGCCCGAGCCTTGGCTTGTCGACGTGAGTGATCGATCGAACTACATAGACAATTTACTCGCGTAATCGATTGTCGTTTGCCGTCTGGATTCCTTTAAGAAAATGTTATAATGACTCAGGTCTGTTTAAAGCGGAAAATTCAGGTGACGCGAGCAAAAAATGCGCAGTCGATGTGGTTTGGCTGGTCGAAGATTCGGAGGTTGTTGTCAACGTCAAGGGGCAAGAATACGTAGGTTCTAAGCAGGATCCGGGCGTTATATGGTTTTTTTCGTTACAACGCGACACGATGACATGTCGCAAAGTCGAAAGTCATACTGTCGAAATTTATCTCGAAATTTATGTCGAAATTCGCCATAAAATTTCGGGATTTAAGAAAGTCGATATTATTAAATTTACTTATTGTCAAATTTTGATATTGCTTATATTGGAATTAAGAACATAGACATTATGAAAATGGATTCGAGGTATAATGTTATATTTCAGGCCCGCGGTGCCATTTTGGCTTACATCGAGGCCACTAGGAAATCAATGGGACGCTTTGGGGATCGGATGGGCCTGGGCTACTACTCGAATCCGGATAGTACGTCTAGAAGATTAGCCAAAAAGAAAGTTTCAGATCGGCCCCACACCGAGCACGATCGTTCCGGGATTGCTTTGTATTTGAATGACCCAAGGTCTTTTGACCCAGACGCGGCTGCTGCCCTCGTCAAATACACAATTCCCGAAGATCCGTGGGGCGTCTACAGTGACATTGCACTGTGAGTTTATTAAATTCTTCAATACAGTAGTAGTAAAAATTTTGATAAAAATTAAATAACTAAAAATTCAAAGATCGTACCATGTAACACATTTTTTTAGTGGCCTTGAATTTGCCGAAAAGATTTTCGGAACCTCCCCAACGAGCAACGCCCAAGTGGTCTTCATTTTTGGCAGAGGAACGTAAGGAAAAATCCGATTTCTGCGAATGCTGAAACCTTTAGCTTTACGCAACCCGGGCAGGACTGCTGCGACGATCCGTTTAATATCTCGTCTACACTTTTGGAGAGTGGTGTATTGATGAAAGGTATAAAAATCAACGTACCGAAATTCACGTAGCGAAAGTTTTGCCTGGTCGTTTTTAGCAAGTTTCTTGACCCAAAAACTAGATGATTTCTGGGTGTTTTTTGCATGACCAAGAATTTATTGAGTTTCCAATCAAAAAATTGTTTAAGATGCGGAACACCTAATTGAAATGAGCCAATAGCGTCATTGTACTTGGTTATTAACAAAATTTTTATCAAAGAACGCAAAAACCCATTAAAATTATTGAGTTCTCGTTTTCCAGCTGCCGTCATCGGAACCGGCAAAAACGAAACCATTATGTCGATGATCACGGGACAACCAAATTTTGAGGTATTCAGCATTTCACTCTGAAAGTACCTTACGGTACCCAGGTCCCTGGATTCACCCGTACTGATGCTGAACAAATCGGAGCGCTGCTGGTCGACCAGTTGCTCGAGTTTAGGCAACAAGCCGTCGAGCAGGGGAACTGCATGCAACCGGAATTGAGTGAGAAAATCGACAAAAACAACATTTTTACGCATATTTTAAGAGAATTTCTGCCAAGAAAAGTCGGATATAGTGCTGATAATTCATATTCCCCCGACCGGGCAGGAGGAGCTATTTTATGCCGTGAAAAATTATACGATCGCCACGTTGCTTGAGGCTTTCAAGGGAATGGATTACGGTGGAACGGATAAGGTATGGAGAGAGAGAGAGAGAGAGAGAGAGAGAGAGAGAGAGAGAAAGAGAAAGCTAGAGTTAGCAATGCATCTATGCAAAATCACGTTTTTAGCTCACAAGAGTGGCCATCCTCACCTACTTTGGCGATACCGTAACGGTGGTACAAGGTCTTCGCGCCAGCTACAACCTAACTACCGCCATAATGGCCGTGGAAAAGATTGAATTTGTGAACAACGACGCGGAATTCAGCAATTTGAGCCTGTAGGTTAAGGCTTTTGAGGGTTGCCTCAAAAATTAACGCTTGCTATCTTTTTTCATTAATTTTTAGGGCTTACGAAGAGGCCTGGAAACAATTCAACACGTCTGGTAAATCCTACGCTTCTTGGTCGACGATTGTCATTACAGAAATGTTGGAGTAGGTTTAAATTTTTAATAGAATTGATAGTTAACGCATATCGTTAAACACCGTCAAAACGATCAAAATTTCGTTAAAAGCAAGAAGTTGCGCACCGGGCGGGAGGTCGACCCCCCCGCGTGTCGCTCCCCCCAACCACTACCACGAGGGGGGGAGCCCGACCCAACCCCCGGCCCCCTACGGGGCGCAAGAGTTTCCAGCCTTTAAGGGCCCCAGGGGGGGCCTCTCGTCCCACGCACCCCCTATGGACGTAGGGACCGCGCCCCTGCCCGCCCTGCTGTGACAGGCCCTCCCCCTGCTGCGGCGGGGCCCCCCCCCCCCCCCCCGGTTGTAGCTGTGGCTGCTGGTATCCATCCGCGCCTCCCGAGGGGGGGCCGGGTCGCCCCGGCCGCGGCGAAAATCTTTGCTTTTTTCGAAAACAACGTCCCTGAACGTGCCCTGTAAGGCATCTAGACAAGGTAACTGGTTAAATTAGATGTTAATTTAGCGAATTCGACGAGGAAGCAGCGCTCAACATTACGGGCCCAATGGTCGAGGCGGGTACCTACAACTTTGGGCTTGGAACCAGCGAGAATGCGTCATATTTCTGGGGCATGGAAAATATTTGGAACAAGTATACGGTAAACTGATTTAGTGTTTTTGACAAAAAAAACCATTTATAGCTAATCGGTGAGGAGGATTTAATGGAACCCGATGGGGTGCCAGCTGTTTATACAGCAAATCAGCTTCGGGATTTTGTTTGTGACCACTATCCGGGTGAAGGTAAGTTGGGAGGACGAGCAGGGTTTGGTCGTGAATGATTTTTACTTTGTGAAGATGAAAGCGTAACACTATAATTAAGCGGGAAAAGAAAGGCGCGCACTATGTACGGTAGGTACGAAAAACCTGTAGTTCTACAGTGATCGGCACTTTAAACGCATTTCTTCTCATGTTCAACTACACCCTTTCTAGGAAAATCGACGCTTCCCCCAACGACGACACCAAACGGTCCAACTACCCAGCCAGGATTCCTACCGCAGGGCATCCTCGCCGAACAAAATTGGCCGGACCTGGCGATCGTAATAGGTAGAAAGCTTGAAGTTCTTCGTCTCGTTAGCCTCTGTTATGTATCTTTAATTACATATTCAATACACTTTTAAATTTTTGCCAGGTTTTTTAGATTGCGTCATTAATAAGCATGTTTTACACCCTTGACGGCCTTACTTTCTACCTTTTTTAGATACCTCTACCGATCCGGGTCTTCACAAACTCATCGGCATCGCCGGTGCCGACGCAGAAAATTCTGCGCTGAACGACAAGGGCTTTGAAGTGGTTGGTATAAGTATTTAATTCTTTTACGGGCTATAAAAATTCCACCATTTGTTTTTTAGCTACGTCTTTTCCTGCTAAACACGCTTCGAAACTTCAAATTTGACGCGGGGCCGGCGATGACGCACGTGGCCCTGTTGACTTTTGACGGAACGGCTACGGTATGATGAGCAGAATTTCACAACGATCTAGTAAAATTTTCCAGACCCTGTTCAACTTCACCGCCCACTCGAGCTGGGAATCGATTTACGAGGCGTTGACGATAAACCTGCAATACGGACCTTCGGATAATCATGTGCCGACGAAGGATATTGATCAGTGCGTTTTAAATATATCTTTATACAGAAAGCCTTCAGCGACAGAGCGAGAGAGAGAGTGAGAGAGGGAGTGAGAGAGGGCGCGATAGAGAGAGAGAGAGCGAGAGAGAGAAAGATCGAGAAGAAGAGGGAGAGAGACAGACAAAATGATTATAATTCCAGAGCCATCCAAATGCTCTCCGACCACATCTACCAACCCCTGGCCGGCTACCAAACTGGCAAACCAAACTATTTGTGGATTTTCACCACCGGAGAGTAAGAAATTTTTTGAGTTCTTTACCTGCCTTCAGGCAAAATTTGCATACCAACAACGGGCAGTACAAGAATACACTGCTGACGCTGGCCCAGGGTGGTGTGAACATCTACTCGATTGGGCTAGGGGCGGTGAACGACACGTTCCTCGCAACATTGTCTACCGGATACCGGGCAGTAGAGGAATTTTCCGATCCGACCTATGGGATGGCGACGCCGCTGGATCTGATTGGGCCTATGTTATTCCAGAAAGTGACCGGGCAGCGTAAGTTTCTCTCTTTCTATCTCTCTCTCTCTCTCACTCTCTCTCTCTCTCTCTAATCCAAAATTGAAATCTCAACCGTCAGACCAACCGCCGCCGCCTATTCCAAGCATGAAAGCCGACATCGTCTTGGCCATCGACGCAGAAATGGACCCCCAACAACTGGCTAACGTCCAGGAATTTTTACGAAGGTTTACGCAGGTTTATATTTTCCATATTATTTTATCTATTACCCCGATTTTTAGTTCTTTACAATCGGCAAAGACTTTTCTCGATTTGGCCTCGTCGTGTTCGATTCGACTGGGGTTTTGCCACAATCAAAAGCGATGAACGATCAGTTCGACAAGGCGGTAAGGAAAAACGAGGAAAACCTTATGGCATACAATATTTTAATTTAACACGGTTTTGCCATATTTTAGGTTCTCGTCGACAACATTAACAAGATTCAACCGGTGAATCGAGCGTTAAAGACGGCGAAGTATGACGAGTAAGACGAAAGCAAAATACAAATCTAAAAAACCCTTGTTTTAGCGCCATTGCCTATATCAACGCCACCATTAGCGATCTGGCGAATGGAAAACGAAATACGGCGCCGAGTTTTACCATTTTCTTAACAGCAAATAATGACTGGTAAGATAGATCCACGTTTTTGGGTTTTTCACAACAATTGTGCTGTTTTAACCTCATTTTATGGTCAAATCTGAGACGGCTAATTTTTTTCTAGGCATTTTTGCATGGCATAACCCTAATTTAGCAACTATGTCATTCCAATCGGCTCGACAAACTTGACGTACTTTAACCAGGACATCTATACGGTTATGGTGCTTGGACTGGACAATACCACGCTGCCCAATTTCACCAGGACTCTAGCGACAGAGGTTTGTATTATTTTTTGTAAACACGTAGTATAGACTATCGCTTCGCGGCCCTTTGACACTGGCCCCGGTCTAGGAACCATATAAAACCCTTCCGTTTTTGAAGACTGGTGCGCAAGTGCCTGACTCTACGAACCATTCTCTGGACTGCGGCGCTAGCTACTGGTTTTTCTTTAGCATTTGGCCTGCGGCGCAAGAGCCCGGGCCAAGGTACTTTTCTTTGGCCTGCGGCGCTAGAGCGAGGCCCGGACCTAAAACTGGTGCACGTAGAGCCTAGAAATATCTTTCGTTGTTGAACTGCCAAAAAGCAAAAATTATCATACGCCAGGGATTCGAACCCCGGACCACGAGCTTGGTAGGACGG